GTAATCTAAAATGACTGAAAATTGCAAATTTCGCAGGGCTATATTATCTGCATTTTACAACATTTCGCAACGAAACTTCGGAATATTACTAATTTTGTGATGCTCTTTCAAGCTGTGATGAAATTTTTGTCTAGACTTGTCTAGATCAAAATTTTAGTTGTAAGGGGAAAGGTCCATTAGTAAGCGCGCCTATTGCTGTCAACTTTTTCAAAAAAATCAGTCAAAAACGTTCATTGACGACGTTGCAACTCGAAATACGTTTTGACTGGAAACGTTTTTATCCCCCGTCGCAAATATTTCGGGGAAATTTTTTAGGTGCCTTTTCCATATCCAGAAGTGCCCCCGGAAGTCGGCACTCTTTAAAATGTCGTTTCCTACGCCCCTGGTATCAAGCCCGTTCGCGTTAGACAATACAACCAGTTAACATTATGATTTTATTGTACTTAAATGTTGCAAAATGTCTAAACCTTTTTATACTGAAAGCGTATAAAACATAATATACATCGATAATGAATCGACAACTCAAAGTCGTAATGAAGTCGGTCAAATTATGAACGTATGTTGGGCAAAAAGACGGGGGAAATAACTTTTAAAAGAAGAAATATGTAATAATAATAGTTAAAAATGCAATAAATCTATTTCAAACATCATTAATAATTCAGGAGCAAAACACGAAGAAAAATCATAAGCGTGTCGTGGTTTTATATGTGATAAAAAATCACGTTAATTTACATAAACTTTAGCTTTGATTTTCTCGGTTTAGACAAAAGTTATTTTAAAAATCACTTCGCCAATGAACTCGTATAAGATGAGTTGTTTTTGAAGCTATTTAAAGCACTTGTATAGTCGTGTTTTATCACATATAAAACACTCCTACGCATGAGAAATTATAACAGATGGCGAACGTTTTTTCGACGAACATTCTGCCCGCTATTTTTTTCCTCCCGTACATAAATTGAACTTGGCATAACTGAACGTGACATGTTACAATGCGTATAATTTTGAAAACGATTGTAATTTCACTTATCCGACTTATGCAAGTATTTCAATTCCAACTACGTGATCTGATGCCTTTCACGCTGCAAGACGTCCCCCAAACAGCTAAAAATATACCACTTAATGGACAATCACATAATTAACCCATTAGTAATTGTAACCTACCAAATTATTAACATCGATTCCACCCACCCCCAACATTTTTCGAGATCTGAGTGTTATATATAGCAATGGTATGCTATCACCTCGAAGTGTTTCTTGGTACGTGACTTGTCGGTCACACAAACCTTCAGCCAAAAACCTTCCAAAATAGCGAATCAGTAAAAAGTTAATCCCGCATAACTCTTCTGCGCTCAAAATTGAGTGCACAGATTTCATTTTTTCACAGTAATAACGGTTAAGGTTTTATAGCTTTCGAATGACACCTTTTTGCGTAATTTCAAGCAAAAATGACAAAATAAATATATATATTTTTACGACTTATTATTCCATAAATAGCCAGGCGTTGTACAGTTGATCGCCCGTCTGATATTGAATTGGTGACCGCGCCTGTTGCTGTCAACGTGTTGCATGCGAAGGTCACCTATCTGGACGTGACTGTTTGTACACGCGTAAAAACGCAGAAGTTGTTCCAGGTCTGCAGACAAGTTGTTACAAATTTACACACAAGCTGTCGACAAGTTGTCTTCGCACTGCTTGTTCCCAGTTGTTGGAACAAGTTTGGAACAAGCTGTTAACAACTTGCAACAAGTCTGATGGTATTATCAGACTTGTTACAAGGTTGTTCTAACAAGTCGGATACAGTCATCATATAACAAGTATGTTAGAAGGTTGACGACACAAAGTTGTAACAGTACTTGTTATATTAGTTGTTACAACAAGTCTGATAATATCAACAAGGATTTTACAACTGTTAACAAGTTGTTCCATGCAAGCTTGTTGACAACTTGGGATAAGCAGTGCAAAGACAACTTGTTGACAACTTGTTTGCAGACTTGCTACAAGATGTAAGATTTTTACGTCTGTGGGGTACATACGAAAAAGACTCGCATCCTGTAGCAGGACTGCCAACAAGTTGTCAACAAGTTGTCTTCGCAATGCTTGTCCCAAGTTGTCACTGACAAGTTTGGAACGAACTGTTAACAACTTGTAACAAGCTTGTTGATATTATCAGACTTGTTGCAAGGTTGTTCAAACAAGTCTGATACAGTCATGATATAACAATATTGTTACAACCTTGTGTCGTCAACCTTGTAACATTCTTGTTATATCATAACCGTATCAGACTTGTTAGAACAACCTTGTAACAAGTCTGATGCCATCAAGCTTGTTACAAGTTGTTAACAGTTTGAACAAGTTGTCGACAAGTTGTGTTCGCACTGCTTGTTCCGAGTTGTTGTAACAAATTTGGAACAAGCTGTTAACAACTTGTAACAAGCTTGATGGCATTATCAGACTTGTTAATACAAGGTTTTTCTAACAAGTCTGATACAGCCATGATATAACAAGAATGTTATAAGATTGATGACACGAGGTTGTAACAATATTGTTATATCATGACTGTATCGGCATGTTGGAACAACCTTGCAACAAGTCGATCTGATAATATCTAGAAGTTGTTAACAGCTTGTTCCTAACTTGTTGACAACTTGGGACAAGCAGTGCGAACACAACTTGTTGACTGCTTGTTGGCAGACTTGCTACAAGATCAATGAGATTTTTACGCGAGTACCCCTCAAGTATGGTTTCCATATGGTCGTAACGGTCGTAAAGTGATTGAGTCACGATCTTTCTCATCAGCCGAAATACAACATTTTAGAACTGAAAATACGCGGAGTGATTATAACTAGAGAATACTTATGATTTATATGTGGTTTACAGGCATAAACTATTATAAACTGGCCGTTGAGAAAGATCGTGACTCTCTTTTTACGACCATTAACCAGGTTTCACTTTCAATGTGCGGATTTACAATGAGTGCATGAGATCCCATGATCTGTGTCATGATAAGTGCGCATGCAAAGTGGTTTCGGTCGAAGCAAAGAGGCATGCAATATCACAAGTCATGTTAGCGGCGCGTGTGTCTCTTCACCTCGAGATGCATTAATTTCACTGATCCGTCCTATTGAAGTGTTTCTGCGTGACGCGTCAGTTGCCTTCCCTTTGCCAAAACCGACCAAAATAACCGAAAATATAGCGCACTAAAGCTAGTAAGGACTCACGGTTTTGAATAATGCCCAATATGCGAATTGTTGAAACGTAATAGTAGACAAATCCAATAGACCTTTCCCCTTTTAAGTGAAATTTTGATCTAGACAAGTCTGGAAAAAAATTTCATCACAGCTTGAAAGAGCATCACAAAATTAGTAATATTCCGAAGTTTCGTTGCGAAATGTTGTAAAATGCGGATAATATAGCCTTACGAAGTTTGCCGTTTTCAGTCATTTTGTATTACAAATGGGAAATTGATAATCATGCAGATGATCAAACTGATTATCAAATTCCCGTTTGTAATACCAAATGACTGAAAAACGGCAAACTTCGCAAGGCTATATTATCCGCATTTTACAACATTTCGCAACGAAACTTTGGAATATTACTAATTTTGTGATGCTCTTTCAAGCTGTGATGAAATTTTTGTCCAGACTTGTCTAGATCAAAATTTCACTTAAAAGGGGAAAGGTCTATTTAAAAACTGGGCCGAAGGAGATGCAAATAAATCACTACAGCCCGAAAGAGCATACTAAAATGAGTAAAATTGCAAAACTTGCAAAATGTTGTAAAATGAGGAAAATACAGCCTTGCAAAGTTTGCAAATTTTGTATACTTTTGCATTGCGTGCGGAAATTGTGGCCCAAAATGTGATAGCAATTTCCGCACGCAATACAAAAGTATACAAAATTTGCGAACTTTGCAAGGCTATATTTTCCGTATTTTACAACATTTCGCAACCAAACTATGCAATTTTACTCATTTTAGTATGCTCTTTCCGGAAATATACTTTTTTGGCCAAGATAAAAAATTAGTCTATAATGGAAATTGTCTGTCACTATATCCATTATCTTTAACAGAAACTCTAAAGCAAACTCTGCCGCATATATGGGACCCGAACGTATATATATATTAGGTCAGGGTCAAACGTCGAACTTTTCAAGTTTTCATGCGCCGAACCTAATGCAAATGAAGTGAAACAAAGAACTTAGCTCATTAACATTAGGTTTGGCGCATGAAAAGTTCGACGTTTGACCCTGGCCTTAGCTTGTGGGATGATCTAGAAACAAGTTCTTTCCTGACCGCTTTAAGCTCTCGTACAGTCGAGCGGGCTTTCCTAGTGACAAGTTTTTTTCGCTGGTTTGTACCGGAAAAAAATTGACATTTTTTCCCTGCAAAGGAGCCTATAGTTGTTTCGAAGCTAGTCATGCCAGATTTTTGAACAACGGGTAAAGGAAAATTTGCTTTCGTGTGTACGGCTTGCCAAGCAGCTAGGGAAACTTGACAAGTGTACCGGCTGAGAAATACTGCTATGGCTTTGACAAGCAAAAGGCGGCCAGTTGACGACGCGAGATAAATGTCTAACAAAATTCCGCGTACAAGGGCAACAAAACATGTTAAAGGAAATTTGCTGATGTGTACGAGGCTTAGGCCTGTTTCAAACGTCGCGCTTCTCATGTGCCGAACGCATTAGAAAGAATAGATAATGAGGCATTTTAGCTGATTATCTATTGTTTTTATATGCGTTACGTTCGGCACATGAGAAGCGCCGTTTGAAACAGGCCTTACGCATGTATTCTAAAAGCTGACTCACACTCAGTCAATGCATGAGTGGAGGTTCAATCTGAGCTTCTCTTGAGTGTCAATGCTATTTTTGAATAGCTGGAGGGTGAGTATAGTCACATAGTATAACTAGTAAGGTACGACACTAACCCTCCAGCTATTCAAAAACAGCACTAACACTCGAGAGAAGCTCAGATTGAACTTCCACTCATTGAGTGTAAAGGCTGATTTCCACTGTTGCGTTTTTCATACGTACGTATACGCACGTAAAACTTTAAATCCGTTTAAATGTTACTTATGAAATAACCAAATAAATAAAGCAACAGAATTTAGTGTTCCGCAAATTTTAGTATGCATTTGTAAACTTATTTGTAAAATATTTAAAAAATAGAAGGATTCAAAGTTTTACGTGCGTATACGTACGTATGAAAAACGCAACAGTGGAAATCAGCCTTTAAGTGAGATTTTAGAATACGGGCGTTTTTTTTTATATTCCCATCAATTAGCCATTAGTTTCGTCTTATTGGCCAGCGACAAAGGGAATTTTTGCGTCCTATAGCGCGAACGGTATTCTATTATGAAACCGATTGTTTAATTGCTTAATGGGAGAATTGAAACTTTATAGAAGAACAATCGAAAAAAAGATAAATATAGCAGTCGTTTAATCATTATCATTGGGCACCCTGATGGGAAATTCGGTCCTGCGTCATGAAGAAGCTCAATATATCTTGACTTCGATCCGTATATTGTTGAGGGTTTAGTTTTTCCTTTCACAAGTGTTGCAAATGAAATATTTGATTGATACCATTGAGCTTATTCCGGATTTTACTATAAATTCAACTGCGTCGTTCGCCGGATTCGTAAGCCAACTATACGGCTAATGGCACGCAATACAATCGGTCGAAACGCGAATTTTGACTTTAGAAAATTTCGGACTGACCGAGATAAATTCGTCCTCATAGACGGACTTGGAAGAGGGCCCCCTATACCTTTTCACAATATGCTTTTACGTAAAAATATTTTGCCTTTTCACGAGTCACGGATTAAGAAAATCATCGATCACGTTTCACGGCTAAGTAAAATAAGCCCTTCACGCTTCACGCAAAAAGTATAGGGGGCCCTCTTGGAAAGGTTCAAAAGGCAAAGGGACATCGAAATTTTTTGATCAAGAGCCTTTTAGAACACTTTTTGCATAGAAACTCTCACGGAATCATGGTCTGACACACCGCCGTCCGTATGTAAATGATTCCTTTACGATATTTACTGATGAGCTTAGAGACCAGTCATTATTTATGGTGGGGGGTGAAACCGTAAAGAAAAGGGTTGGGTATAAACAACATTTTTGAGTACGTGAGTAAAAGGTTGGGTAAATGAATACAAAACAACTCAAGGGTTGGGTAGTAAAAATTTATCGTCATTTCCAAAGCATGACTCACTCAAACATTGAAGATTAAAAAGCAATGTCAACAGTCATATGTCGATACAATATGTAAATCAATCAGAGTCACCATCTTGATCATTTCCCAATATTTGTTAAGAGGCAAATGGTATCTCCAAAGAAAGTACATGTGCAGACAACATGAAACTTTACACTGCAGAGAATTGCACAAGCACAAACTCGTGTCACAGAAGTGGTAAAGGACATCCGTGAGTAAATCGAGTAAATACTGTATCCGGATTTTACATACTTACTTACAAATTTATTTAGCCACGCTGGTCATACACAACATAGTTGTAAATACATGTGTTGATTTTGAGATCATGGGCGTGTTATACTTACAAACTATTTTAACTCACATTAGTCTCTGAAAAAATTTCATGACAGTTTGAAAGAGCATCACAAAATTAGTAATATTCCAAAGTTTCGTTGCGAAATGTTGTAAAATGCGGAAAATATATAGCCTTGCAAAGTTTGCAATTTTCAGTCATTTTAGATTACAAACGGGAAATTGACAGCCTCAAAGGGTCTGAAAATTGCAAACTTTGCAAGGCTATATTTTCCGCATTTTACAACATTTCGCAACGAAACTTTGGAATATTACTAATTTTGTGATGCTCTTTCAAGCTGTGATGAAATTTTTGTTGAGATCAAAATTTAGTCTATTACGCAAGTGGTCAATTGGTAAAGAGAAGATGCCTTTTTCGCCTCAGAAGGAGAACTATTCCACAGCATTGCATCACTATACTTAAAACTTCATTTAAGATAGTTGTTTTAGGTTTTGGAAGTGCTAGATCAGTATCATTACTTCGAAGAATATATTCTCTATTAAGATCTTTAATTTTTATAAATTTTTCTCTAAGACTTGGACTAGCGGACTGCTCATTAAGAATTTTGTATATTTTGTACATACAGGTTGTATAAAAAAAAGGTAATCGAACTTCAGCGCGGCATCTGAATCACTCTGCGTATGAACGAGATTTTTTCATATTGGGAAAGATCAGGCTCAGTTTAGCTGTTGAATGATATGTGCGAAATGGATGACAAATGAGCAAATATGATAAAATATGTTAGTCAGAGTCGCATATTTCCACCGTTGAGAGTTGGGTTTAAAACCATTGAAAATTAACCCCCTTTAGGACTTAAGTTGATGAATTCCACTTTATTAAACTACACACATATGTATATTACACGGCGGCGCGAAGATACGACTTTTATCTTAGAGTGGTGAAAACAAAAAGCCTGATCTTTCCGAATATGAAAAAAAATTGTTTACACGCCGAGTAATTCACTAGCGCGCTGAAGTTCGATTACCTTTTTTTGATATTAGAAGAAAATCACTTACTTTGCAACATGTAATACAGCAAACTTTGCAGTTCTTCGCAACACACACAAGTCATACCAAAACTGCAGTTACTTATTCCAACACAGTCGACTATGTATTTCAATCTTCGGATTGTATTTTGTTTAATTAACACTTATTCCAACAAAACACCCGTCAACTTGCTAAATAAATTTAAACGATACAATATGAGAAACTATACACCGAAACATTTTGTGAATGGCGACAAGTCCATAAAACTGTCGCATGTAACCTGCTTACAACTTGACCTGTAATGTTTAAATCAAGCAAACAACTCACTCTTGACAACATAGGCGAGTTGTGTAACTTGTGTGCTTGAATTAACGCAGTACAACTCAAGTTGTATAGGCAGGTTGCATACTTGCATGCGACATTTTTTGGCAAACGTTCTGCAGTGTAAATAAACGTTCACAAAGCGGTAGTTTTGTCCAAAGAAACGCGTCGCCAGTGACCGAGTTTCTAGATTGTAGTGATTGTTGTAAAGCTGTAGGGAGCCAATTGAGGTTTAATTGTTTTGCGTGATGAAACAATTGAGCAATATATTGGCTCTTAAACGTCCCAGCGTTCGTTTTAATTAAATAAATATGTTAATTTGCGAAGATAAGCTGCCGACGTTTCTGTAAATCTGTCGTAAACTAGCCGTCTACAAGACTTAATTTAAAGATTAAAAACTCTTCAAAGGTCAGTTTCGGTTAAAAAGATAATTCGGCTTCCTCGCCAACTTTTTACAACAGGGTCCGGCTACAATCGCTCGAAACACCAAAATTATTTAAAACATTTTTTCACAGAATACCAGTTGCCGATACACTGCACCTCCCACGATTTGAGATAATTTTCTAAATTGATATTGACAGAATTCTATTAGTTGGAGACGGTTCTTTGTGTAATACGCTGAAAGGAAGAACAGTTTAGATTTGATAAAGCTATCCAGTATAAATAAAGTTAGTTTAGGTTTCCTCCTGTAGTAACACTGGATCAATAAGAGATGACTCTTACTAGAGCTATCACAGTATAAATAAAGTTCAAGTTTAGTTTAGGTTTCCTCCTGTAGTTAGGTAGTACTAGATCAATAAGAGATGATCCTTACTGGACCTCTAGGAAGAACAGTTTAGAGCTAATAGAGCTATCCACTATAAATAAAGTTTAGTTTATGTCAGGTTTATGTTTCCTCCTGTAGTAACGACGCTGGATCAATAAGGAATGATCTTTACTGCACCTTTAGGAAGAACAGTTTATAACTGATAGAATTGTCCAGTATAAATAAAGTTAGTTAAGTTTAGGTTTCCTCCTGTAGTAACACTGGATCAATAAGAGATGATCCTTACTGGATCTCTAGGAAGAACAGTTTAGAACTGATAGACTTATCCAGTATAAATAAAGTTAGTTTAGTTTAGGTTTCCTCCTGTAGTAACACTGGATCAATAAGAGATGATTCTTACTGGACCTCTAGGAAGGACAGTTTAGAACTGATAGAGCTATCCAGTATAAATAAAGTTAGTTTAGGTTTCCTTAAATACAATTCTTAAAACTTAAATACAATTATCCGATTCAGATGCTGTAAATTTGACGCCATATTTATACGCAATATAAGCAAAACTTACTGAACTTCAAACATCATTTTCTCTTTGGCGTACCATCTAAAATCTCTTCATTTTAGCATTATTTTACAGATAATTAAGCACCGGCTAAACATACTTTTTTATGTTTGCCGCTTGAGAAACGTATAAAAAATTTAAACTTTGACTATAATCATAACCAAGTGGAACGTATGTTCATTAGTTTTGAGCGCATGCCATGTTAAAATACAAAAGATATGATTATCCCCTCGATCATTTTCGGGTAGTTCAGGGACAGACTAGCTGAACTACGGTGGCTTGTTGGTAAAGGAAAGTGCTTCCTGAAGTAAATTCAACAAAGTTAATAATCTATATTGAATTAATTCATGATTGGATATTAGATCGCAACTACAGTAGTCCCCCACTAACTCGAACTCGCTTAACTCGAACTCCTCGCTAACTCGAACTAAATCCAATTCCCCTTGGATCTGACACTGTTTTTTATAGTAATTTACTCCGCTTAACTCGAACTCGTTTAACTCGAACTCCTCGCTAATTCGAACAAATTTTGTTTTCCATTGGTCAGATTTATCCCGTTAACTCGAACTTTGTTTTCGAGTCGTGGTCGGCAAACCTTAAAATGTCAGAACATAGCATTTTGACAACCGGTAACTTGGACTTTTATTCAAATGACGACAATCTATCGGTGTATAAATGATCATAAATTTTAAAAGATTATACACATAGTTGCGACGATAGTTATTGATCTAGTTTTTTAGTTCCTTTTGTAAAATCTCTACATATTTTTCCTAAGAACTTTAGTTTGCATGGAACTTGCATGCCTTCTCCATCACCCAAGTTAAAACGATACTGACTAAAGAACTTTAGTTATAGGGATGCACAATTAAACTTTTTGTAATTTTGATGAACAGTATAATAAAACTTTTATACCTTATTAATTATTAACATAATAAACGAAATCTGACACCAACTTCGGTTAACTCGAACCCCCGCTAACTCGAACAATTTTTCGTTCCCCTTGGGAGTTCGAGTAAGCGGGGTTCTACTGTAATTTGCATCACGAAATCTTTTGACATAAAAGTAGTTGAAACTTGTGCGTTACCACGAGAGCATTCCTTAGCGGTGAAAGGCCTCGAGTCAGAAAGTCAAAATTACAATACCATAATCGTTTTTCTCGATATTTTGAGACGGGCAAATAATATAGAATCGTAGAACAATGTTTTAGAGCCTTAGAGGATATCTAAGCTTCATATTTCCTTACCTGAAGCGTGATAGCTGGCGTCATGTCAACAGTGACAGCTTGAAACCAGGTTTAGCCAATGGGAAAGCAGAATTTGACACCGCAACGGAACACTAATGATATTTCCAGATCAACATATTATTGCTTCGTGATTACTTTGAAGTTACTCAGTGACAGTGTCATCGGCGCGCACAAGAATTCACAAACCTTAAAAAAGAAGAATTTTAACCAGAAGCCATCTCACAGAAGAGTAGTTAAGTCTTGATACGATTCCAGAAGAATTTAACTTCAGAAATTGTTGAAATACGATTGAGGTAAGTTTTACTTTCAATACAAATGCATTAACATTTTGTGCGAAAATGAGAACTTGGTTTCAGGTCAGACTTGGAAATGAAAACGCAAACATGCGCGCACTTTATGGCAAAGTTCAAGCCTTCTTTTAAATGCGCACACAGTGCGCAAATTTGGCATTTTGCGCAAAAGAGTGCGACGATTTATTCTACTTACGGATTATTCGTCAATAGTTTAGACGCGTCATCCAGACAGCCCAGCCATAGTGGCGAGATTGACATAGTTTTGAGGAAAAAAATCATGCTTGATTTTGATCTTTTTTTTGCTAGTGCCTGGTAGATCTCATCTAGTTGCGTATTGATTCACATGAACAAAGTACGCATGCAACTTCGTTTCAGTTGAAAGCTGCGCTACGCAGAAAGTTTGTGACTTTGTGGTGTTTATACAATATATACACGATCAAGTACAGTCTCAGTTACGGAAGCTGCCTCTAAACGACTAGTCTAGTATATTAATTCGGGCCTGAAATGCAAAACGCAAGAACGTTTCGCTCCTCAGAAGGGATCGGATCACACAATGCGGTGTACTAAAGCTACAAGCTTAGTAAAAAACCCCAAACTTTATTCAAACAGAGCTACTGCCAATACTGCTACCATAGTATGCAAAATTAAATTTACAGAGAAACTATAGATTGAAAATTAGAATTATACTGTATGTATATAAAGCAATAGGAAGCTACCTACCAATGTTCACACGGTTTGTCTTTCATTGCAATAACATACATAAACAAGTCATATTGTTAAAAGAACGACACGAGTGATTTATTTGGTTAAGCGTACAGATAAAATCCGCACTGATATCATTAACCTTTGTATTATTGCAGCGCATTTAATAAATAGTGCTTTTCGCTTCCGACCTCATTAAAATATATATGGAAATGTTGACAAATTGGTTTATTGTATGGAAAATTGCTATCTAATATCGACCAGTTTCAACAGGTAATCTGTGAGCTGATAAGATAACTTGGTTTTAGTTTATCCAAAGCTTTCCGGCTGATGACTTGATTACAAGTTATTAATAAAGTATTAGGGAGTTTAAGCTTCACGGCCGGCAACGGCAAACGGCAGGTTCGAACTTTCTTGGCAAAATTTTCGGCAAACGTTTTCGTTTCATCTTTTCTTTCTTGCGTCAAAAGAATAATCATGCATTGCATTTTTAAAACAGCAAGTTTACTTACTCTTTTTTGCCTGAAACCGTAACTGAATTTTTCTTTGCCTGGCGTTTGCCGTTTGACGTATAACGCAAAGTTTAAACTCTCTAATAATACAAAACAAACTTAATAGAACAATGTAATATACCGGGTGATAAAGTAAAAATCAAATTCCGAAAAGACAAGACATCTTCAGAATACAATATATAATTCAAAACAAGAAGCAGGTTGAGTCCCTGAGTCTTGTTTTGAATCATATATTGTATTCTCAAGATGTGTTGTCTTTTCGGAATTTGTTTTTTACTTTACTTTTTTAAATTGTCGGCTGGTCATGGTTTTTGGACTAATACCGGACAGTGTCCCAGCAGATTTGGACCCCCCCTCAAAATGGACCCCCCCGGTCCAAATCCGCTAGCGAATATGGAGCGGGGAGTCCATATCCGCTAGCGAATATGGACCTATGGGGGTCTTTATTCGCTAGCGGATTTGGACTCCCCTTGCGAATTTGGACCCCTCGCGTATTTTATCATTGCAACGTATTGTATTTTGAATATTGTACTGAAAGCGTTTTAAATCGTCACTGAACTCTAATCTGATTTATTTCAAAAACCGTACGAAGATTCTTAGATTAAAAAATTCCATCAAATCATAGATTTTTAGATTAAAGAATTCCTCAAAGTTGATGATTTATATATAATTTTTCTGCTACATGGGTTTATTTCTATGATCTTGGAATGTGCGAGAAGCGCATGAAGGCCTTCACAAGTATTTTACTCCTTGGAATTGCTATCTACTCTGATACTTTTTGTGAATTTTAGGGGGTCCAATTCCGCGGAAGGGGTACATATCAGCTAGCGGATATGTACTGTAGGGGTCCGAATCCGCTAGCGGATTTGGACCGGGGGGTCCATATCCGCGGGGAGTCCAAATCCGCTGTGACACCGGGTGATGGTTCAACTTTTTGAGCAATAAAACTCAAGTGTCAAAATCTCTAATCCGTCTGAGGCGTGCGGTTACGAAATGCGATATCTTATGACGTCTGACAACCAAAGGCTTTTCTGGAAACCTTGAATGCCCAATGAAACATGTTGGCACACAAACGCTCAGTTGTGTAATCGCCGTAAAAGGTACCGGTAATTAAAAATTGAAAAACAAATAAAGCTTGAAATGTGATGCGCAATAGCATAACCCGCTGGGACTAATTGGCATAATGACCGTCAACATTTACGGAGAATATTCATGAAGCCTATCCTAGTTCCTGATTTGGAATTTATAAATGACATAGAAAGAACCAGAGAACACGATTAATAATCAAATAAATATGCTTGACTGTTAGCGAATTATGATGATAATAATAATAATGGTCTTCTCCAGACGTAAGAGTTTTATGTAAATTAATAAAACTCATTAATAATTCATGAAGAAAATTCAAAAGAAGTGAATGTTTAATCAATGTTTGTAAATCGCATAAAGATTTTTCTGATATACATAAACTTCAGCTTTGATTTTCTCGGCTTAGACAATGTTTATTTTTAAAATTACTTCGCTAATGAACTCATAAGATGGGTCGTTTTATAAGCATATACAAACTCTCGCCTTCGGCTCGAGTTTTTATATCGGATAAAGATCGACTGCTCATGTTTTATCTAGTACATAAACTCTACTACTAGCAATGTTCTAGTCAGCACTTACAAAAGGTAACATAAATACATAATGACTTATGTCTAATAAGATATCCAAAGATCTAGCGGTTGAAGAGACATCTGTTAATAAATACTCTTTTAAGTCTCTGAGTTTTAACTTTGAGGAGCATACAATTATTAGCCTCCGCAATTCAATTTGAGAAATTAATTTCTTAACACACATTAGGCTGTGACTGCGGACTAATTCAGGATCTATTTATTGTCTTGTGACTTCTCGCGGGCTACGTTTTTAAACCGTTGTGTACCATCATAGCATCACAGCCTCTGCCTGCCCTACTGCAAAACTATGTAAATGACGGCTGGAAAAATCGTCTAGTGTTTATAGAGACACTGAAATGACAAAGTAAGGCGCATTGCATTTGGAGGCAACGGGGATTAACCAATGGGGGATTAACAACATGCATGGGCAAATAGACAGATTAACGCGTTTTAATAGTATCAGCACTCTTTTTGGTGTTTGGTGAAAAATGTGGATTGCGGACTACGGATTGCGGATAGAGTGAAAAATGCGGGCTGCGGATAAAGGATTGTGGGTAGAGTAGAAAATGCGGATTGCGGAACGAACTTGCAAAACTGTAAAGTGATAAACGACTTTTGACTGTGGTGTATATATAACTACCTGAATATATAACTACTTTTTTACTTTCGTGTTTCACTGTTGTGGCCCGTATATACTGTTATAACCATTGCAAATGAATGCATATATAGTTAAAGAAGTTATGTTCTCATTGTAAATTTTACTTAATAACTTTGTTAAGGTGATTAAAGATGACATCAATAAGAATATTAATACTGTTCCTTTGCTTGACCAGTACACAAGGTACTGAAAAGGTTTTACGTTGTTTAGCTCAATGCATGCCATTTTACTGTCTATCTTCTGTCTGTCATTCTTCAGTCTATCATTCTCCTGTCTATCATTCTTCTGTCTATCATTCTTCTGTCTATCATTCTTTTGCCTATCATTCTTCTGTCTATCATTCTTCTGTCTATCATTCTTCTGTCTATCATTCTTCAGTCTATCATTCTTCAGTCTATAATTCTTCTGTCTATCATTCTTCAGTCTATCATTCTTCAGTCTATCATTCTTCTGTCTATCATTCTTCTGTCTATAATTCTTCAGTCTATCATTCTTC